GAAGAGGGAAAAATAAAGGGGACTTTGTCTTGCACCCTACGTACCAGCTTGACCACAATAGGTCAGAACACCAAGCAGACTCTTGGGGTCCTGAATTCAAGGCCTTGGCTCTTGGGTGGCATTTCTGGACCTGCCCTGGGACAGAGAGGAGTCCACTGCACTGAAGGGTGAGTCCTAGGCCTGACAGCATTCATCACAAGACGACTGAAGAGCACTTGGGGCTTAAGGGAACAGCTCTCATTGCCTTGCAGTACTCCCCATAAGCCTGTGGTGTTGGTTACCATAAGGTGAAGTGCCTCTCCCTGTGGAAAAAGGAGGAAAGAGTGAGAAGAATTCTTTCCCATAGTTGAGTACCAGCTCAGCGGCACTGTAATACAACACCAGGTAGACTTCTAAGCTGTATGACTTCAGTCCCTGGCTCCTAGAAGGTAATACTGGACTCTCCCAGGGCCTAAGGGAACTTATCACCCTGAAGGAAAGGATAGAGGCCTGGCTTGCTTCACTACCTGCTGCTTGTAGAGACCCAGGGACATAAGCGAACACAGGCAGTAGCCAGTAGTTGTTACAGTGGGTTTTGGCTGTGCTGCCGCCAGGTCAGACCTAACACAGTCCCAGAGGCTGTGGTTACAGAGGTGCCCATTTCATCCCACCCCAAACTCTAGATGGCTCAAAACAGAGAGACAATCCATTTGTTCGGGAAAAAGTAAAGAAGGACAAGAAGAGTTTCTGCCTGGTGATGCAGAGAATTTTTTTTCAATTTTATCCAAGACCATCAAGCCGTTACCTCTATGATCCTGCAAGTACTACAGCATTACTGGGCTTGGAGTTTCCCCTAATGCAGATACAGCTTAGAGCTCAACACCAAAGTCCTTTTAAATATCTGGAAAGCCTTCCCAAAAAGGATGGGTACAAACTAGCTGAGTCCGCTAAGTCTACAACACATACCTAACTCTTCGATGGTCAGACACTGAAAAAGTTAGCATGCATCAAAAACTTCCAGAAAAACGTGACTTCGACCAATAAATTATATAAGGCACCAGGGACCAATCCATTCAGACAGAGAATTCAAAATTACTGTCTTGAGGAAACTCAAAGAAATTTAAGATAACACAGAGAAGGAATTGAGAACACCACCAATTACATTTAGCAAATAAATTGAAATAATGAAAAAGAATCAAGCAGAAATTATTGAGTTGATAAATACAATTCACATGCTATAGCATGTATCAGATTCTCTTAATAGCAGAATTGTTCGAGCAGAAGAAAGAATTAGTGAGCTTGAAGACAGGCTATTTAAAAATACATAGAGAACCTCCCCACAAAAAAACACACAATGAAGCCCACCTACAAGATGTAGAAAATAGACTCAAAAAGGCAAATCTAAGAGTTATTGGCCTTAAAGAGGAGGTAGAGAGAGAGGGCTAGAAAGTTTATTCAAAGAGACAATAACAGAAATCTCCAAACCTGGAGAAAGATACCGATATTGAAATACAAAAGGATTATTGACCACCAAGCAGATTTAACCCCAAGAAGACTACCTGAAGGCATTTAATAATCAAATCTCCAAAGATCAAGAATAAAGAAAGGGTCCTAAAACTAACAAGATAAAATAAACAAATAACATATTACAAAGTTCCAATACAACTTAAGAAGACTTTTCAGTAGAAAAGTCTGAAAAGCCTTACAGGCCAGGAAAGAGTGCCGGGATATGTTTAAAATTCTGAAGGAAATCCACTTTTATCCTAGAACAGTACATGTGGTGAAACTTGCCTTCAAACATGAAGAAGAAATAACTTCCCCAGATAAACGAAAGCTGAGGAAATTCCTCAATACCAGGCGCATCATATAAGGAATGCTAAAGGGAGTACTTCATCAGAAAGAAAAGAACATTAATGAGCAATAAGAAATTATCTGAAGGTACAAATCTCACTGGTAATAGTAAGTACACAGACAAATACAGAATAATATAATACTTAATTCTAGTATGTAAAGTACTCTTTTTAAACTATACTTTAAGTTCTAGGGTACATGTGCACAACTTGCAGGTTTGTTACATATGTATACATGTGCCATGTTGGTGTGCTGCACCCATTAACTCGTCATTTACATTAGGTATATCTCCTAGTGCTATCCCTCCCCGCTCCCCCCTCCCCACAATAGGACCCAGTGTGTGATGCTCCCCTTCCTGTGAACAATGAGATCACTTGGACACAGGAAGAGGAATAAAGTACTCTTAAGTAGAAAGAATAAACATTGAACCAATCAAAAGTAATAACTACAATAACTTTTCAAGGCACAAATACTACAATAAGATATAAGTAAAAGAGGGCCAGGCGCAGTGACTCACACCTGTAATCCCAGCACTTTGGGAGGCTGAGACACGTGGATCATGAGGTCAGGAGATCAATATCATCTTGGCTAACACAGTGAAACCCCATCTCCACTAAAAATACAAAAAATTAGCCAAGCATGGTGGCAGGTGCCTGTAGTCCCAGCTACTCGGGAGGCTGAGGCAGGAAAATGGTGTGAACCTGGGAGGTGGAGCTTGCAGTGAGCCGAGATCACACCACTGCACTGCAGCCTGGGTGACAGAGCGAGACTCCATCTTAAAAAAAAAAAAAAAAAGATATAAGTAAAAGCAACAAAAAGCTAAAATGTGGGGGATATAGGATGTAGAATTTGTATTAGTTTTCTATTTGTTTATGCAAACAGTGTTAAGTTGTTATCAGCATACATTATGGGTTATATGATGGTATTTACAAGCCTCATGGTAACAACAAATGTGAAAACATGCAAAGGATACAAAAAAATAAAAAATAAAAAGCAAGACATCAAATTCTAACACCAGAGAAAAATCACCTTCACTAAATGGAACACAGGAAGGAAAGAAAAAAGGAAGAAAAGACCAGAAAACAAATAGCAAAATGGCAGGAGTAATTCCTTACTTATTATCGATTACACTGAATGTAAATGGACTAAATTATCTGTATTAGTCCGTTTTCACATTGCTATAAAGACACTACCCAAGACTGAGTAATTTAATAAACAAAGGAGGTTTAATTGACTCACTGCTCCCGATGGCTGGGAAGGTCTCAGAGAACTTATAATCATGGCAGAAGGGGAAGCAGGCACCTTCTTCATAAGGTGGCAGGAGAGACAGAGAGAGTGTGTGTAGGAGGAAATGTCAAACTTATAAAACCATCATATCTCATGAGAACTCATGCATTATCATGAGAACACCATGGGGCAAACTCCCCCAGTGATCCAATCACCTCCCACCAGGTTTATCCCTCAACACCTGGGGATTACAATTCAAGATGAGATTTGGGTGGGGACACAAAGCTTAACCATATCATTCTGCCCCTAGCCCTTTCCAAATCTCATGCCTTTTCACATTTTAAAACCAATCATGCCTTCCCAACAGTCGCCCAAAGTCTTAACTCATTTCAGCATTTACTCAAAAGTTCACAGTCCAAAGTCTCATCTGAGACAAGGCAAGTCTCTTCTGCCTATGAGCCTGTAAAATCAAAAGCAAGTTAGTTACATCCTAGATACAGTGGGGGTACAGGCACTGGGTAAATGCTCCCATGTCAAATAAGAGAAATCAGCCAAAACAAAGGCTACAGGCCCCACGTGAGTTCAAAACCTAGTGGGGCAGTCATTAAATCTTAAAGCTTCAAAATAATCTCTTCTGATTCCATGACTCACATCCAGATCAAGATGATGCAAGAGATCGGCTCTCATGGCCCTGGGTAGCTCTGCCACTATGCCTTTACAGGGTACAGCCTCCATAGCTGCTTTCACAGCTGATTTCATGGCTGGCATTGAGCATCTGTGGCTTTTCCAGGTGCATGGTGCAAACTTTCAGTTCATCTACCATTCTGGGATCTGGAAGACAGTGGCCCTCTTCTCACGGCCCCACTAGGCAATGCCCTAGTGGGAACTCTGTGTGGGGGCTCCAACCCCATATTTCCCTTCTGCACTGTCCTAGCAGAGGTTCCCCATGAAGGGTCCACCCCTGCAGCAGACTTCTGCCTGAACATCCAGGCATTTTTATACATCCTCTGAAATCTAGGGAGAGGTTCCCAAACCTTAATTCTTTACTTCTGTGTACCTGCAGGCGCAATGCCATGTGGAAGCCACTAAGGCTTGGGAATTGTGCCCTCTGAAGCAATGGTCAAAGCTGTACATTGGCCCCTTTTAGCCACAATTGGAGTTTAAGCAGCTGGGACACAGGGCACCATGTCCTGAGGTGGCACAGAGCAGCAGGGGCCCTGGGCTTGGCCCACAAAATCATTTTTCTCCCTAGTCCTCTGGGCCTGTGATAGGAAGGGCTGACGCCAAGATTTCTGACATGTCTGGAGACATTTTCCCCATTGTCTTGGCTATTAACATTTGGCTCCCCATTACCTATGCAAATTTCTTCAGCTGGTGTGAATTTCTCCCCAGAAAATGAGTTTTTCTCTCTCTTGCATCATCAGGCTGCAAACTTTTATACTCTTCTTCCCTTTTAAGCATAAGTTTAAGTTTCAGATTATTTATCTCAAGTTCAAAGTTCCATAGATCTCTAAGGCAGGGGCAAAATGCCACTAGTCACTACACTAAAACATAGCATGAGTGACCTTTACTCCAGTTCCCAATAGGTTCCTAATCTTCATCTGAGACAACCTCAGCCTGGACTTCATCGACCATAACAGCATTTTGGTCAAAACCATTCAACAAGTCTCTAGGAATTTCCAAAATTTCCCACATCTTCCTGTCTTCCTCTGAGCCCTCCAAACTGTTCCAACTTCTGCCTGATACCCAGTTCCAAAGTCACTTTCACATTTTTGGGTACCCACTTTTCATAGCAGTACCCCACTTTCTGAGCTACCAATTTACCGTATTAGTTCATTTTCACACTGCAATAAAAATACTATCCACAATTGGGTAATTTATAAACAAAGGAGTTTTCACTGACTCACAGGTCCACCTGGCTGGAGAAGCCTCAGGAAACTTACGATCATGGCAGAAGGGGAAGCTGGCACCTTCTTCACTATCTGATGGAAGAAACAGAGAGAGTGTGTATAGGAGGAAATGTCAAACACTTGTAAAATCATCAAATCTTATGAGAACTCACACATTATGACAAGAAAAGCATGGGAAAAACTACTTCTGTGACCCAGTTACCTTCCAGCAGGTCTCTCCCTCAACTCCTGGGAATTACGATCCAAGAAGAGATTTGGGTGGGAACACAGAACCTAATCATGTCACTCTCCTATCAAACAACATAGAGTGTTTACATTGATTCTTTTAAAAAAAAGATAGCCAGTGATCTGTTGCCTACATTTTACCTGTGCATGCACACACGGACTGCACAAAGGGATGGAAAAAGATATTCCATGCCAATGGAAACAAGATAAAGCAGGAGTAGCTACACTTATATCAGACGAAATAGATTTCAAAACAAAAAGTCCAGGAAACAACAAGGTCACTATATAATGATAAAGGAGTCAATTTATTGAGAAAATAATAACAATTGTAACTATATATAGACCCAGTGCTAGAGCACCCAAATACATACAGCAAATATTATTAGAGCAAAAGAGAGAAATAGACCCCAATATGATAATAGCCAGAGACATCAACACCCCACTTTCAGCATTATACAGATCTTCCAGACAGAAAATCAACAAAGAAACATCAGACTTAATCTGCACTATAGTCCGAATTGGCCAAAAAGTTATTTACATAACATGCCATCCAATGGTGGCAGTATAGACACTGTTTCCTTAGCACATACATTATTCACAAGAATAGACCATATTTTAGCTCACAAAAATAAGTCTTAAAACATTTTTAAAAATGAAATAATATCAAGCACTTTCTTTGACCACAATAGAGTAAAACTAAAAATCAATAATGAAAGGAATTTTGGAAACTATACAAACATATGCAAATTAAAAAATATGCTCCTGAATGACCAGTGATTATTTGTATTACAGTCTTTAATTCAAATTTATTTCCATTCTTATCTTTAGTATTTATTTTGTTCTACTCATTTTGAATTTGGTTTGCTCTTGCTTTTCTAGCTCTTTAAGATGCATCTTTAAGTTGTTTATTTGATGTTTTTCTTCCTTTTGATGAAGGAAGTTAAAACTACAATCTTCCATCTTAGTATTACTTTTTATTGTGTTCCATAAATTTTGGTATTTGTATTTTTATTATCATTTGTTTCAAGAAATTTTTAAATTTTCTTCTCAACATAATAAAAGCCATACATAAGCCCCACAGCTAGTATTATACTGAATGGCGGAAAACCTGAAAGCCTTTCCAGTAAGATCTGGAACATGACAAGGATGTTCGCTGTCATCACTGTTCTTCAACATGGTCCTGGAAGTCCTACTTAGAGCAATCAGGCAATAGAAAGATATAAAGGGCAACTGAATTGGAGAAGAAGAAGTCAAATTATCCTTGTTTGCAGATGATATAATCTTATATTTGGAAAAACCTAAAGAATCCACTAAAGAACTATTAGAACTAATAAATAAATTCAGTACAGTTGCAGAATACAAAACAACATACAAAAATCAGTAGCATTTCTATATGCCAAAAGCAAATAATCATAAAAAGAAATCAAGAAAATAATACCATATGATAGCTACAAGATAAAATACCTAGGAATTTATTTAAGCAAAGGAGTAAAAGATCTCCACAATGAAAACTATAAAATATTGATTTGATAAATTGAAGAAGTCACAAAGAAATGGAAATATATTCCCTGTTAATGGACTGTAAGACTTAATATTGTTAATAAAATGTCCATACTATCCAAAGCAACCTCAATAAAAATTTAATGCAATCTCAATAAAAATACCAATGACATTATTCTCAGAAATAGATAAAACAATTATAAAATGTATATGGAACCACAAATAGCTAAAGATATCCTAAGGGAAATATAATAAAACTGGAGGAATCACATTATCTGACTAAAAATTACAGTACAGATCTATAGTAACTAAAACATCATGTTTGTGGCATAATACACACATGGATCAGAAGAGAACAGAGAACCCAGAGATGAATCCATACGTCTACTGTGAACTCATTTTTGACAAGGATGCTTTGTCAAAAGCATCTTTGTACTTTTTTGACAAAAAGTACATATATTGGAAAAAGTACATTCTCATCAATAACGTGATAGGAAAACTAGAAATCCATATGCAATTAGATTCCAATCTCTCACCATTTGATCTTTGATACAAATATCAAGTTAAAATGGGTTAACGACTTAAATCTAAGATCTCAAACTATGAAACAACTAAAAGAAAGCTTTGGAGAAACTCATGAGGGCATGGAAAAAGTACATTCTCATCAATAACGTGCTAGGAAAACTAGAAATCCATATGCAATTAGATTCCAATCTCTCACCATTTGATCTTTGATACAAATATCAAGTCAAAATGGGTTAACGACTTAAATCTAAGATCTCAAACTATGAAACAACTAAAAGAAAGCTTTGGAGAAACTCATGAGGGCATTGGAGTGGGCAAAAATTTCTTAAGTAATACCCGCAATCACAAACAAAGTAAAAATGAACAAATGGCACTACATCATGTTGAAAAGCTTCTGTACAGCAAAGAAAGCCATTCACAAAGTGAAGAGACCACCCACAGAATGGGTAAATATTTGTAAACTGCCTATCTGAGAAGGGATTCTTAACCAGAACATATAAGGAGCTCAAACAACTCTATAGGAAAAAAGTCTAATAATCTGATTTAAAAACGGGCAAAAGATCTGAGTTGACATTTCTCAAAAGTAGACATATAAATGGTGAACAGGTATATAATAAGGTGATCAATATCATTGACTATAAGATAAATGCAAATCAAAACTACCATTAGATATTATCTCACCCTTGTTAAAATGACTTTTATCCAAAAGTCAGACGATAACAAATGCTGGCAAGAACGTGGAGAAAAGAGAAACCTCATACACCATTAATAAGAATGTAAAATATCACAACCCCTATGGAGGACAGTTTGGAGGTTCCTCAAAAAACAAAAAATTAGAGCTGCCATACAATGAAGTAATACCACTTTTAGGTACATAACCAGAAGAAAGAAATCAGGATATCAAAGAGATATCTGCACTCTGATATTTATTGCAACACTCTTTACAATATCCAAGATTCGGAAGCAAACTAAGTGTCCATCGACAGATGAATGGATGATGAAAATGTGGTACATATACACAATGGAGTACTATTTAGCTATAAAAAGTGAGATCCTGTCATTTGCAACAACATGGATGGAGCTGGAGGTCATTATGTTAAGTAAAATAAAGAAGCCAGGCACAGAAATACAAAGTTTGCATGTTTCATTGATTGGTGGGAGCTAAAAATTAAAACAATTGAATTTATGGAGATAAAGAGTAGAGAAGTGGTTATCAGAAGCTAGGAAACCTAGTGGGCGTGGGGGATGGGGTGAGGGGAAGTAGGGTTGGTTGATGAGTACAAAAAATAGAGAAAATAAACACGATCTAGTATTTGATAGCAAAAGAGGATGACTATTGTCAATAATAATTTAATTGTACATTTAAAGGTAACTAAAACAGTATAATTGGATTGTTTGTAACACAAAAAATAAATGCTGGAGGTTATGGATACCCTATTTACCCTGGTATGTTAATTATAAATTACATGCCTGTATTAAAATATCTCACATAATCCATAAATATATACACCTATTATGCACCCACAACAATAAAAAACAAACCACAAAGACATACTATCTCACACCATCATAATGGCTATTATTTAAAAGGCAAAAAACAACTCATGCTAGTGAGGCTGTGGAGAAGAGGGAATGCTCATTCACTGTTGTTGGGAATGTAAATTAGTCCAGTCACTGTGAAAAGCAATCTGGAGATTTCTTTAAAAACTGTAAACATAACGATCTTTTGACTCAGCAATCCCATTAATCATTATATACCTCCTAAAAACCAAACTTTTCTCCCAAAAAGACACACATTCGCTTGTCATCACCATACTATTCACAATAGCAAAGACATGAGATCAACGTAGGTGGCCATCAGTGGTGAATTGGATAAAGAAAATGTACTAAATATGCACTGTGGAATACTATGCAGCCATGAAAAGAACAAAATCATGTTCTTTGTAGCAAAATGGATGCAGCTGGAGGCCGTTATTCTAAGCAAATTAATGCAAGGACAGAAAATCAAATACTGCATGTTCTCAGTTATAACTGAGAGCTAAACATTGGGTAGTCATGGACGTAAAAATTGTAACAATGGATACATGGAACTATTAGATGAGGGAGAAGGACAAGGATTAGAAAACTAACTATTGGGCACTATGCTAAGCCTTTGGGTGATAAAATCATTGATAATCCAAACCTCAGCATCATACCATCATGCAATATACTCAGGTAACAAACCTGTGAATGTTCTCCTATAACTAAAATAAATCTGAGAAGAAAAGAGTGTGTCTTAGTCCATTGGTGTTGCTAAAACAAAATACCACACAGGCTGGGTAATTTATAAATAATATAATTTATTTCTCAAATTTCTGGATACTAGAAGTCCAAGATCAAGGCACTGGCAAGATTCATCTTGTGAAGGTTCAGACTCTGCTTCCAATATGGAGACTTGAACTATATTCTCACATGGCTTAAGGTCTAAGGGAAAAAAAATGCCTTGCCAGTTCCTTCCAATTTCTTTATTAGGTTTGAAAATACTACTAATTCCCTTCATGAGCACTCCATTATTTAATCACCTTCTAAAGGTTTTGCTTTTTAGTACTATCACATTGACAATTCAGTTTTAACATATGAACTTTAAGGGATGCATTAAAGCCTAGCAAAAGGTATTTGCACATTTTGGGAAACTACAAAGTTTTGATTTCATTTAGTTGTGATAATAAAAAGTCAGAATGTTTCTGTTTTTTTTTTCTTTTCTTTTTAAGACACAGGTTCTCACCCTGTCACCAAGGGTGGCATGTATATGTGTGATCATGCCTCACTGTAACCTCAGACAC